CATTTGAAGCTTTTTACTTCTCTCTCTACTCTCTCTCTAACATCTCTCCTAAATCCAAGTTTAAGGGTCCAAAACTCAAATTTAGGGCATCAAATCTCTAAGGTACTTTCCTTAGCTTGTATTGTAACCTCCTTAGCCTTCAAATTCAAGTTCAAAACATGATTTATGACCATATTCATGAGTTTACGGCCATCGAGCATTCATTGGCCGTAAACTCATATTAAGTGGGTTTTTGAGCCCTTAAACCCCTCCTTGACAAGTTTGGGACTTAGATATGGCTAAATGGCTTCAAGATATGGACTCTAAACAATTAAAACATGAACTTTGTGATGTTTGAAGGAGTTTATGGCCAAGGATCATTCTTGGGCCGTAAACTCATATATATAGGGTTTTCATGCCCTTAAACCCTTCCAAATCACTTATATGTCTTAGTTATGAATTATAGAACATTGATAATTGCATTTAGACACTTGAAACATCATTTTTGGGGGACAAACAAGAGTTTACGGCCAAGACATGTGCATGGGCCGTAAACTCCTCTAAATGGGGGATTAAGTGTCTGTAAACATGTCCAAATGCCCTGAAACTCAACCAATGTCCTTGTGGTAAATCCTAGAATCATCTAAAAATGGTTTGGAGACCTTAAACACATCAAATGCATCACATTTAGGAGTTTACGGCCTAAGCACATAGCCTTTGGCCGTAAACTCATAAAAACATTTCAAAATGACATTAAACCACCCCTAAAGCCTTGGAATGAACTTTAGAAGTCCATATAAACAAGTTTTTGGCATTAAAACACAAGGATTTACTCTCTATGAGAGTTTACGGCCATGAGAAGGGTCTCATTGGCCGTAAACTCCAAAAATCCCTTCAAAATTACAAACAAATGCATATAAGACTATGGTACAATTTTAGCAATCACATGTGATTAGTTTGGGATCCAAAAACACAACTTTTCATGGATTTATAGGAGTTTACAGCCATGAGACCATGCTAGGCTGTAAACTCCCTAAAATGTGTCATTTTTATGTTAAAAATCCATTCCAAGACTTTGAACCAAACCTAGTACAATTCCCCTAAGTGTTTTAAGTCACTTTTGCCCATATTTGACCCCACCATGAGTTTACGGTCGTAAACTCATGGAGAATGGGTCTTGTGGCCATAAACTCCCTAAAGGGGGTGTTCCTTTGAAGTCCCAACTCATTTCCTAAGTCCCTCGCATCATTCATATCCCTAAACGTCACCCAGGTCCCTCCAAACACTTATATCGGAGTGTTTTCGCGACTTGAAGCAATTGTCCCTATCCAACAATCAATCTAAGTCCTAATTAGATACAAATGTGTATCTTTACATCATAATTAGGAACCTCGTGTGTTTACAAGTCCCGGATCAACTCTTAGCATCCAATCCGTCACATATCTCGTCCGGTGAGTTCATACCCCTACGGCTTTTTCACTGTTTTCAATGTTTTCAGGAGGGGAATACAAGCAAACTACAACTGTTTCCAAATCAAAACATTGATATGTTTCAAATTATATCTGACAAACTTATAAACTCTTTTACTCCTTATGTATTATGCTGAGCATAAGGAATGACTTATCAATTACAACTAAAAGAATTTTAGTTAAGGAAACAATCAAACTAATCAAATTGTTATGGGAATAATTTGGGGGTCTTTATTGTTCTTTCTATCATATGTTGATATCTATATCAAGTTATTAGATAAACTATGTCTGATTCAGTTTATCTCCGTATCATTTGAATGTATTGTCAGATAATTTCGTTGTATGTATCTATATTTACTGTACTATGTTTCATAATCTTCTGTATGTCGATATCTTATGAGAACCCTGTGAATAGTTTAGTACTGGTTTGTGAGATAGTCACTACCCTTTATGGATGATCAGTAAATCCTCCCCGGAAGTGTAACCAGAGTCTCCTGGAGGGAGAGCGCGGAATTTGTGAATAGATCTATTCGGGACTGACAATCCCACACCTTAACTGCTAGCTAAAGTTAGGCGGGCACGCCTGGGGTGACAAATTTCTGGATATCGTTTTGACGTCTGACAAACATCAAGGAGGTCACGTTGTCGTATTAGTATGGTTACCCGACTCACAACATGTATTAATATTAGCTTATTCACAGTTTGGGTTTAGAATCTATATCTCTTTCGGGATCGTGATCCCATGGTATTATCAAACTATTTTACATCTAGTACGCGATAGTGATCCCATGGTTTTGTATCTATATCTTATACGGGATAGTGATCCCATGGTTTTGTATTTATATCTCATACGGGATAGTGATCCCATGGTTTTGTAACTATATCATATACGGGATGGTGATCCCATGGTTTTGAATCTATAACTTGTGCGGGATGTCTTTCCCCATGGTCTTTAACTATATCTTATACGGGATAGTAATCCCATGGTTTTGTATCTATAACTTGTGCGGGATGTCTTTCCCCATGCTCTTTAACTATATCTTATATGGGATAATGATCCCATGGTTTTGTATCTATATCTTATACGGGATAGTGATCCCATGGTTTTCAAATCTGTATCTTATCCGGGATAGTGATCCCATGGTTTTCAATCTTTATTTCCATATATACATCAACTTATCTCGTGTCTAGTCCGGGATGATTGTCCCATGATCTTAAATATGTACTTTCATATGTGTCAAACTATCTTATATCTCTTTCGGGATAGTGATCCCAAGATTTTCATTATATAGTTTTGTGTGTTAAACTATACTTTGTGATATACAACTGATCTTACAATTAGGAAAATATGGGATTTTCCTGGGGTAAAACACACCACGTAATCGAATTGGTAATGAATGATAACTAAACCAACTTCACATAAGAAAATATGGGATTTTCTTGGATAACAAGTCTTTTCGAAAACTAAAGGAAGTCGATACATTTTCATAAAACAAAACCGCTTATGAACTCACCAGCTTTATGCTGATTTTCAAACCGCTTGTATTCTGAGGTCCAAGTTAGACAGGTACCCGGCGATCTCTTTTGATGAAGACGGAGTGCGTGAAGACTCGTCTCAACTTTTGTTAATATGATGCATATGTATATTTTGTATAACTTTACTTTTGAAACAAATGTAAACTTTCATATATATGTAATGTAATGTTTGTTTACTTTGATTACTATGTACATTGGATTTGATACACAACGTGGTAGTCCACCTCGGAAATGTTTCCGCCTTTGATTTTCGGGGTGTGACAATTTCCTCTAACGGGGGGATGATGTGACAACCCAAAATATCAAACTAATATAATGACATCCAATCAAACCTTGTAACCCGTTTTTTTATAGTTAATAAAATAGCTTCGAAAATAAAATGTTCAGAAAGTCTCAATTGGGATGCCTAAATGATAGATATCATGTCAACGTTTTCAGAAATATTCACAACACTTGAATTTGAGTGATAACAATGAAGTTAGGACCAACCGATGATTCTTGTGAAAACAGGTAAAACCCTGATAAACGAAAATAGTGAAATTTCGATAAAATAATTTTCAGCCTTGGGTATCTAAAAGAAATTCGTAGATTATACTAAATCGTGAACATGCATAAACAGAACGTCCAAATTTGACTTTGTATGAGAAAGTAATGATTTTTCTATGTTTTGGACATAGTAGTAGACAGCTAAAAACGTGAAATAGAGATCGAGAGATTTTTGGCCGAAACAACCTAAACGATAAACAAAGTCCTCAACAATAGTAGCACAATGGTGAAAAGTTTATCGAAAAAGGACATTGGATAAAGAAGTTACGGATTATAAATGGACTAGCCGACAGAGTCTAAATGAAAGTTATAGAGTACAGTTTCACCTACGCATGGATATGAAGAACGCGGAATACAGAGCTCGTACTAGAATGTTACGCAATTTAGAAGTTTGGAAATTCAAACTACGCCCCACGTAGCGAGTTACGCCCAACGTACCAGAGGATAGGAGCCTTGTCCCATCGGCCATCATGTCCGAGCTACGCATGCGATGATGACTCATTACACCCAACGTAACTGGGGTGAGTACACCCCGCATACGAGGGGGTTTCAGCCCCTCACTACTAGAAAAATAGCCTTTTATGACGCGCAAACAATGACACTCATTAATATATGTTACGCAACCGAGAGTGACATTAAAAACGTGTTATCTATTCAGAAAATTTAAGGATTTAGGTCACGCATTACTGCGCGCCCTTAAATTATTGTCAGAATAAAAAAATTAAAAAAACACGGAAGGCGCTATATCTTAAATGCACGCCCTCTGTATGTGTCGCTTTATAATTTTTATGAACGCGCGTTCTTTAGTTACAAGCGGGAAAAGAAAAGCCGAAAAAATTAGAAAAGCCCGCTACCTCTTTGACCTAAGCGTTTTGACGCATCTTTTATTCTCCTCACACTGTTGCGCAACCTATTTCAAGGTTACGATTTCATCTCCATCTCTCGACTTCATCATCTCAATGAAGAAAAAAAGCTTCTGATTTTCATTATCTGCTTCATCTCTGCTGTGATTTCACCTACTTCATCTCTGCTGTTCTTGAGAAAAAAGGCCACCCAAGTATTAACTCTTCAAGATTCAGGACCCCAACACCCCATTTACATCTGACCACCAACACCACCACAAACAAAGGTTCAAATCCCCCTTTCCCACCAGTCAAAAATCGCTTCTCCTTACAAGCCCAACATCCGATTGACGGGTTCGATTCTTCTCTTATGGTTATATAAAGGTATGTTGTGCTTACCATCGTTCATCTACCTTTTCTCCATCCACACTCGGTATCTTTTTGTATTTGGATCTGTTAACAGTATACATCTCTTCTTCTTCCTCTCATACCGACGAATTAGGGCAAAATCTTCACCATCTTCAGTCAACTATGGAGGCCAACAACACAAAGAACTATGAGATCTTGCGTGTTCAAGTCCATCGATTTCTTTGTTGGTGTTTCTTCAATCTTGGGTTAGAGAATTGAAATGGATCTGACTGAAGAGATCGAAAACAATGGTGGCATATGGGCTTTGGAGCAGAAGATCGATCAACCAATGGACGAAGAGGCTGGTAGTACAGGTTTAGGTTGATGATGCTTCATCGCCTGTGAGTTCTGTTCTGTAATTCTTTCGTGGTTCTGTTTCTCTTATTATAACTGCTTCTTGGATTTTATTGTTTTGTTAGGATGATTTATTGTTTAATCGGCAGAATAGGGCTAATTATTTATGTTTTTGTTTGAAATCGATGCTTGAACTTGGGTCGGTTTGCGAATTTACTATTGTTGATTGGAAAATTGTACAGGTTTAGGTTGTAGGCTTCTTTATAATTCTTCCCTTACTTCAATTTTGAGTTCTTGTTGATCTTTTTACTTGAATTTTTTTCCCCATTTTGGTTCGACCAGTATGTTATTTTGTTTTAGTGTAATTGACAGCTTAGGGCTAATCATGGTATGCTCAGTTGTAATAATCTCAGTGCAATTCTCTCTAGTTGAATTCTACTTTTCTATTTGTCTACGTGAACTGCCTTGTAGCTTTTGACCTGTGTGTCGTTCATTATGAGATGGAATGAAAAACTACATATTTTCTTTGACTAGTTGATAAAAAGTTTATGAATTTTCTTTGTATGCTTTTGGAAAAAGAAGTTATTAGTTTAATACTTATTCTTCTTTTAACATCATTTGCTGCACAGACTAACAAAATTAGAGCAGGAAGAAAAGAATATAGTAGAAACGAGGAAGAGGAAATTCTTTGCAGAAATACTTAATGCAATAAGGGAACTCCAGTTGCAAGTTCAGGCCTCTCAAAAACGTAGGAAGCAAAGGAATGATGTTGTTCAGGTATGTAAATTATTTCCCTATATTTATATCTATGTATAATCTATAATGTATCTAGTTTTATACATAACCTGATTAGTTCTACTGCCATATGCTTCTATCATGTTGCTATTAAAGTGTATTGAGCTTATTTGGTTTTCTTTTAGATAAGCCTTGATGTTATCTTTTTTGTTGTTACAGGCTTTGGTGCCACTATTGTTGAAAATTCTTGTGTCTGCCCCTCAAGTTATATTTGGATGCTATCTTATTTAGCGTATATAGATGTAACCGAGTGTCCTTTTAATATGTTAAGAACCAAGTTTTATTCAGTTACGTTATCTATAGCACCAACCAATATTGTTCCTCTGTTTTTTCTTGTTTCTGCTGTTCTAATCCCTCTTTTCTTCTCCCCTAGTTCTTCTGTTTTTCCTTGGTGAACAAGGTACACGTACAACTGCGAATATCACCCATTACATATTCAACAAAACTAAAGGAAAAAAAGTAATTGGTAGGTTGAAATTGAGAAATTCGCCATGATTTCATTTGTCATATACTTACTTAAGTAATACCTCCATCTTATTAGATGAATATCCTGATTTAAAGGAAAATGAGCAGCTTGCCATGGCTATTCAAGAAAGCTTGAACATCAACATGAACTCACCACCACGAAATAAACATGGAAGCATGTTTCCTCGTTTGCCATGTTTCTTTCCAAGTGTATACAGGTAGTCTTTTTTAATACTTATTTTTTCTTCCAATATTACCCTTTGCAATCCATCTGAAACATGTGGAATGTAGGATATGTGCAGGTTGCAATGGTGAAATTGGTCATGGGAGGTTTTTAAGCTGCATGGGAGGCGTTTGGCATCCAGAATGTTTCCGTTGTCATACTTGCAATATTCCAATATCTGATTATGAGGTCCAACTCTACTCCAATTCTTTAACAAGGTGTTCCTATATTCCTTCTAAATCGACACCATAAGGTTTATAATTTAAAGACAAAAAAAACATGTCGGATTTGGATTCAGAAGTCCATGAAAATCACAACATTTCTTGTTTCTTGAAAGTTTTAATTTCAAAATTTTACCTTTTTACCCTTTATCATCTATGTAGTTTTCCATGTCTGACAACCGTCCGTTCCACAAATCATGATATAAAGAACATCCTCACCCAAAATGCGATGTTTGCAATAACTTTGTAAGTTCCTTGTTTGTTATTCACTTTTGAATCCCTAAATACATATCCTAGCTCAATCATCTTCGCATAAATCTCCCAGAGATAACTAGTAATTTGATTTTATTGTAAATTAAAAAATGGTCCCTATGCCTCCTGTTTTGACCACGTTTAGTCCAAAATTAAATTCGTTTTCAGTTTCGGTCCTTATCTCAAGTTTTCATATCGATTTTGGTCCTTATTTCAAGGTTTTAAGAACCAAAATCAATATGAGAGCTTGAAATATAAGGACTGAAGTTGAAAAAGTTGTCAAATTTAGACTAAACACTATAAAATCAGAAAGCACATGGACCCTTTTTGTAACTTAAAGTTTATATATGCATCTGAAAGTTTAGATTTGAATAGTTATTTGAGACCTTTCCACATGTGATAAATTCTTCCCAAGTTTTCTATTTTAATGTCAAATCTTTAACATAACTTTGTTCACCTCATCAACTTCCAATCTAAATCAATGCAGCAAAGATGTAGGCTTAGTGAAAGAACTCATGGATGATTGTTTGACTAGTCAACTCTCCAATTTCCTTCGTCCACACGATGTTGTTTCTGCATTGGGCCCCATGTATGAAGGTCATGACAACAGTGGATGCAAAAAATTGCAGTCTCAAATCAACCACTTGGAAGAAACTAAAGGTTTGACTTTTTTTATTATTCCGAATAGCTTTTATTAATCCTTGTAATTATACTTTTATCTTTTTTCTATCAGATGTGCATCCTCAGTTCAGTCCTTGATAAGTGCCTAAGGCTGCTTGGTTTTGAGTCGGCAGCACCTTGCGATACCTCTTGCAAACTCAGGTATGTAGCTTTATTATTCCGAATAGCTCTTGTTTTCTAGTATTAGAAGATCATATGTCTTGATTTCTTGCATAACAATAGAGAGATATTGCAGCATCTTTAATAGAGCTATGTAGCATTATAATCCTTCAAATGTGATGGAAACATATGAGGTGCAGTGGATAAGCAAAGAAAACTCTTAATCCCAATGATATCAATAATCTTCCAGAAACTAAATTTAGAAGGAAAACTCTCCCATTGTTTGTACGATGCATGATATATTTGCATCCCATGCTATATTATTTAGATGATTTAAATTTCATTAATTGGTTTGAATGTTGGTGTTTAGTAATCAAACTCAATTTATTCCTCTTTTTATTAACAACTTTTATTTATTCATGATCTTCAGCTATCTTCTGCTTGTGGGCGGCTTGTAATTTCAAGTGATGGAGTCTGGGATGCTCTTTCCACTGAATCAGCTCTGGAATGCAGTCGTGGATTGGCTCCGGAATCAACAGCAGCACAAATTGTCAAAGTACGGAAACAAAAAAATGTTAAATTTGTAATAAAATATTATGCAATGGATTCTATTTTTGTATGACATTAAATTTTATGAAATGGATTATATATTTTGTATATGATATTCATTTTTCTATTATGATGCATTAAATGCAAATTTAATTTGAAAATTAGTAAATCTATAAACAAATATATTTTTTTAAACATTTAAAATTATGATACGCAAAAATGTGTGTCATCTTCATTTATGACATGGCCATTCTTGACAGGGGCTTTCTTGATACGCATTGCGTGTCATTAACACGCGCGTCGTAAGGTTACGACACGCGAATGCGTGTTGTCTTCCTTTATGACAGGGCCTTCCTTGATACGCAATGCGTGTCGTAAAGGCGCGTCGTAATTGCACGTCGTAAATGAGCATCGTAAATGCGCGTCGTCTATAGACAACGCGCAAAAGCGTGTCGTCTCTCTTTATGACAGGGGCTTCCTTGACACGCATTTGCGCATCGTCTGAGCCATTTACGATGCGCAATGAGCGTCGTAAAAGGCTGTTTTTCTAGTAGTTCCTATAAAAAAGGGTGCAAGGGTTTCGGGATTATTTGGTCATTTCCTCTCTTTCTCGTGCCAAAGCTCTACGTTTAAACCCTCGGAGCCATCCAGAAGTCCCGATTTTCAAATTCAAGTATAGAAGGAAGTCTTACGCTCCAGAGAATCCCGAGAATCCAGAGAAAATCAGTTTTCTCTAGTCGAAGTTCTGCTCGATTTTCGTCTCACCCTCTTCGAACTAACAAGTGAGTTCATACCCCCATTTCTACGCTTTTAACTTATTTTACATGCTTTTGAACACTTTAGGGGGGGGGGGGATACAAGTAAACCCACGGTTAATCCCGTATGCAAACATAAATCTTTTATTATACACTTCATGTAGTCTTTATAACTACTACATAGATTTTGTTAACATGCAAACATCTTATACTACTATACCCTCTCGGGATGAAGCATAATTATGAGTATTTGAAGTTTTATTTCTCTGTTTGCATCATATCAAGGGTAACCATTTTTACTATAACATCCATAAACATGCAAGAACATACAAATCATTATTATACCTTGTCAAAACTGTAGAAAAGAGTAATTATTTCAGAGAAAAACATATTCATTTTAATACGTGACTTAATTGAGAATTTGTGAGTCATTTATCTTCAAAATACCCTTTAAGGTACCGCTAGAAGTCCTGTTTATAACCAAAATCTCCCATCCGGAGAACGTGACAAGTCTGTATAGATCAATACGGGACTAATGATCTCGCGCCCCTACTGCTAGACAGTCCCCGGGGTGACAAGTGTCATCTCATTTCAACGCCTGAAGAACGTCGCTACAGGAAAATTATGATAGTACGGTTATAAAAACTCACTGGATAGACAAGTATTATGGTATTACTTTTTCATGAGAAATGTAACAGATACAGTTCTTTTCACATTTAAACACGATATTTTAGAGTTTTGTTTTACAATAAGACTATACATCATCTTTTGAGAATGTCATAATTGCTTAAAGGTTACGGTCTTGGACATTTGAGACTGCATTTCACTTTTAGGAAAATATAGGATTTTCCTGGTTCAAATACATACAATTTATACAACAATCATTGATACTCATTTCATACACTCATAAGAAAATATCGGATTTTCTGGAAAACATACACGAACTATCGATTAGGATTCATTTTTTCAAAAAAATACTTATGAACTCACCAACTTTATTGGTGACACTTTTTTCTTTGAAATAACTTGTATTCTCAAGAAACTACTAAACCAGGTAGCAACAATCATTGATACTCATTTCGTACACTCATAAGAAAATATCGGATTTTCTGGAAAACATACACGAACTATCGATTAGGATTCATTTTTTCAAAAAAATACTTATGAACTCACCAACTTTATTGGTGACACTTTTTCTTTGAAATAACTTGTATTCTCAAGAAACCACTAAACCAGGTAGCAACTACTTTTGCAAAACATGTAACACATACACTCATGTAAACTTTTCAAATATATTTATATTATGGTGGTGTGTACTCTCTTTACTATTCATTTGTTATGATGCTTGACATGACGTCCTCTGCCCCCGAACTTTTCCGCCGTTCACGTTTGGGGGTGTGACATATGATAAGTCATCTTGAACTGTTCATAACAAGGACGTAAAGATTAAAGGATAATATCAATGGCTAACTCTTCATCAAAGTTGACATTCAACTTGATTAAACGATCCACACATCTTTGCATTATTTGCAAGTGGTTCGTGATGGACTCTCCATCCTTCATTTTGGTTTTTATTAACGAGGAAACTATCTCATACCTCTTTTGATGTGCACTTTGATAGTACTTTTCCATCAAATCTTGGTGCATTTTGATAGGGCCAATAATCGTTGTAGAACTTTTCAAGCTTGGGAGTCATAGTGCCTACCATGATGCACGACACCTTTGTTTCTTCTTTGCATCGAGCCCTATACTCGGTGATTTCTTCTGGAGTAGCAGTGTTTTCATTGATCTAGATGAGTTCCTTATCGAGAATCTTTTCCTTATCGTCGTATCTTAGGGCCATGCGAATGTTGCATATCCAATCGTTAAAAGTGTATCCATCAAATGTGACCCTCCCACAAATACCCTAGAGAGAAAGTGGGTTCCAGGAGTTGGTGTTGTTGTTGTAGGAGTTTCAGCTAGACATCTGAAAAAGAAAAGAAACAAAGTTTAGATTATATAAGAATGTCACACCCCTAAACAAGAACGGCAAAATCGTTCGAGGGTGGATGACTTCATGTAGTATCATAACAGTTGAGTAAATAGTAAAGAAAGCAAACACAACCATCATAAATATAATTTTAAAAAGTTACATTATTGATTGTAATACATTTTTCAAAAGAAATTACATTATGAGGATATAATAAGTTTGAAATTTGACACCTTAGCATCCCTTCCCCAAAAGTTGTTGTTTACCTGTATTACTGAATTCCTAAGAAATACAAGTAGTTTCGAAAAAGTAACAACAATTAAGTTGGTGAGTTCATAAACATTTTTGTACAAGAATTGTATGCCTTTTTGTTTAAAGTCATTGAGTTTGGTTCTACAAAATCCAATAGTTTCCAACAACCGGAGTGCATAAGTATTTTCCATACTTATTATAGTGTAAGTAGATTTATATATGTATATATAATCACTAAGGAGTTTGATAGCCCCGCAAACCAAAATGTTTTAATAGTTAATATGAGTTTTATAAACATACTATTGACCCAGACTGCCCGTAACAACATTCTTCAGGCGTTGGTTTGTTATGACGTTTGTCACCCCAGACCTGGCGGTCTAACTGTAGCTAATAGTTTAGGTGCAGGATTGTCAATCCCGTATAGATCTATACACAAGTATCACGCTCTCCCTAGATGAGATTATGGTTTATAATACAAGACTTGAAATGTGAAATTGAAAGTGCGTGAAGTCAAATGTCTCACAAAAGTTAGTATCAAATAGGTTTACGTATGAAAAGTCCATGTTTCTTGTAAAAGTAAGTATTTCCTCTTATTAGTGTTTAAAGTATGTAAAATATCGTGAATATCTCGTAAACTATACCTATTATTGTTTTTCAAAAAGTGTGTTTCATTTGAACGACAAACCTTGGTGTATTACCAACTTTGCATGTAAAGTATAACATTTGTAATAATGTTATTTTACTTATTTAACATTTATACACAAAATGTAGATAAATCATTAAAACTGTATGTAAGGATTTGCATTTTAACATAAGTTTTTCCTGCGTTTCACTTGTATTTTTCCCCCTAAAATATAGTAAACATGTAAAAAAAATATAGGGGTGTGAACTCACTTGGTACGAGTGATGGTTTGAAGAAAATGATGTTTAACCCGGGAAGCACTTTGACTAGAATGAAGCAAGTTTCTCGGGAACTTCAGGACTCCGGGCTTCCGTCAGGGTTTTGATATGTAACAAGGGCATCGGGGTAGTGTCGGGATGCTTAACACTGAGTAAAAGTAGGAAGGGAGAGTAGAATTGAGAACCTAAACCCGAGACCTTCGGTTTCTATTTATAGGGTGCATTTGTGGAGCTCACATCGTGAGCATGGAGTGGCTCACATTGTGAGTTCGATCTTATCCCCTTTCGTAGACCTGACGTATGATAACCCGACTCTAGAACCCATCAGTCACTAGCTCACGTCATGAGCTTCAGGCTCACACCGTGAGTCCTCTGTTAGTGTAGGATTTCGTGTACCGAACATCAGAAATTCATATCTCTCACATACGAGTTCTGATTTTTACGTTTATATCTGCAAGTAGGTGAGAATATACTCTATAACTCTTGTTTAGAGTTCGTCTGCTAATTTATAATTTTATTTTTAATATTACATTTTTAACAGGCTGGGACAGGAA